GAGTCCTCTCCCACATCCTCTGCAATGTTTGTTGTCCATTAGATTTCTTTATAATGGCCATCCTGACTGGGCTAAAGTGGTATCAGAGTGTTTTAATTTGTATTTCCCTGATGAGTAAGGGTGTTGAACACTTTATAAAGTAGCTCTTAGCTTTTCCACTCTAAGTGGTGAAAGTCCTTTAGCAATACCACGTCTGTTGTCACTAGCTTACCATAGCACAGATGTCAGCTGAGCCAGTCAGCCATGATGTGCGGTTGTTTCCTCCCGGTTGAAACATCCCCTTTAGGAGGAAGGTGGGTGTAGACCACTAGGCTCACCAGCCGCCTCCCTGAAGTTGTACAAGCAGTAAATGGGAGGGGACACGACAGACCCACTGTAGGGAACTCCTGGGCTGCAGTTATCACTCAGACTCCTTAATGTGCAACTTTTCATTGACATGCATGGCTGCTTCTCCTGCTGGGTAACCTACCCCAGCAAACTCACAGGCTCGCCAAGCTGGCCTTGAGTGGAGTCTTTCTTTGTTGCTCTGTCTGTCTGGAGTGACTAGAAATGGCCTCTGCAGGAAAAGTCACACAGCACCTGTCAGGTCGCTCTAGGAGAGCGGGAGAGTTGTACACCCAGTGGCAGTTGTTTGGATGATGTTTGGGTTGTTGGTCAAGTGAGGCCTCTGCATCGAACTTGCTTTGAAATTAGGCCTTGATCCAAAAGGATAATTCATTGTCTAAATGCACCTGAGTCTGGTCATGTTCCAGCTAGTTTTAACCAGATGAATCTTCCTCTCAATGCCGTGTTCTCACCCCCCATCTCTTCCTGCACTGCTGTTATTTATATATTTAACATGCAAATACAGACATGTGGCATATATATATCAGCACTGCACTTCTGGTTATTTATATATTTAACACGCAAATACAGACACGTGGCATATATATCTCAGCATTCCAACCTCTCGATTTGTTTGAACCTAATCTGTGCATCTTGATTAGAGAAAGCCCCTCACAGCTGCCCATTCAGCTGGTCAGAAAGCACTTGGCATTTGCTGCTTCTCCTGCCTCTGCATCACTGATGTCTGGTGACCATTGTTAAGTTCTCATTCTCTGGACCTCTGTGATGTAGCCAGTGATTTAAAGAGAACTCAAACCGAATGGATTGACAGTGATAACATCCCCACCCCTCAGCTTCAGGTCTGTTTACACAGAAGACAGTGGTTTGTATCGTCCAGGTTGCTGTAAAATCTGCTGCTGAAGAGCAAGGAGCCGGGAGCAAGCAGGATTGTTTTTTTTTTTAAATCATCAATGTGATCAGTAATCAAAAGATTGTTAAGAGCAAGCCAGAGCAGTTGAGCCGCAGTGCTCCTTGTAACAGCTATTCCAATACTCATTAAGTAAAAGGTACTTACTTCTCTGAGCCCCTGAGCTATCAAATCTTGGATCCTTTTCCTTGAAAATTCATTCAATAGTTATATATGCAGAGAGAAAGCAGGAGGAAGGAAGAAGAAGAGGAGGAAGGAGGGAGGAGGAGAGAGGAGGAGGAAGAACGAGGAGGAAGAAGGGAGAGGGAGGAGGAGAGAGGAGGAGGAGAGAGGAGGAGGAAGAACGAGGAGGAAGAAGGGAGAGGGAGGAGGAGAGAGGAGGAGGAGAGGGAACAGGAAGAGGAGGAGGAGGAAGAGGAAGATTATAAATAGAATATAAAAGGCTTGATTTTTGAATTAAGTCCATTTGTTCAGCACATCTTTCAACACATACACAATTATCTACATGGAATTAAAAAAACACATTCTGTGTTTTGAGGCTTGTCGACAAGCTTTAGTTTCATACTTATTTTTGAGACATGTCTCAAGCAGGTCTAGCCTTGACTAGCCATGCAGACTAGAATGACTTTGGACTTCTCCTGCTTCCTGTCAATAAACACTGCTGTTACAGGTGTGCCACCACACTCTGTTTCTTACTTTTTTTTCTCAGACAGGATCTTCCTGTGTCCTCAGCTGGCCTGGAAGTCACTTTGTAGACCAGGCTGGCCTGGATCTCGCAGGAATCTGCCTGGCTCTATCTGGCTCTGCACAGTTTCTTCTTTAAATATAATATTCCAAATAGCGTTCTCACATGCCCAGGACAGAGTGCATAGAAACGGGGCTTAATCGGTCAGCCCGTGGTGGTGCGCACCTGTAATCCCAGCACTTGGAGGTGGCAGGCAGGAGGACCAGGAGTTTGGGGTCATTCAGAACTGCATGGTGTATGTAAGGCCAGCCCACACTATGTGAGACCCTGTCTCAAAACCCGAAACTAAAAACGGGGCTTAATGATGTTTCTTTTTGGAAAATTGGAGGATATTTATTTTCTGGCATAATAGCAGGACAGCCTGGTGACACACGGGGGTTGCGGGGGCATTGTCTCCCCTTTGGTGGCCTGCCTGACTGGGAGACTGGCTTTCCATCAGTGCCTAGCGTAATAAGAGCGCGTCATTCTGCATGTTGCCTGTGAAAACTCAAAGCATTGAGTGAGACTCACTTCCTTAGCATTATGAAATTGAAAAATTATGCTAAACCATCTTAATTCAGCGATTGTCCTGTGTGTAGGAAAATGTAAGAAAGAGTATTTGAAGGGAATTAAGAGAAAATTCTGTGATGAGGGAACCAGCTGCTGACTTCACACAGCAGATCAGAGCAAAACCCTCCCCAAGGAAGGGGTGCCTATACTGAGAGTCAAGTGACCGGAAAGACCAGGCCAGGTGAGGGCACGGGGGAGGGCGGCTCAGAGCCTTGAAGCTGTGGAAGAGTGGGAAGGAGGTGTGCATGGCTTGAGCACACTCCACCTTAGCTCCTGCTCTTGTCCTCTACTTCCTAGACAACCATTCATCTCTGATGCTCCACACTCACAGGGATGGCACCTCCTCAGAGCTCAGACACCCCCACCTCACCTTCATACAAGGCAGCACGTGGATGAGTGGGTATGTGATTAGGAGTAAAAGTCTTTTTTTAAAAAATATGTTATTACTTTTATTTTATGTGCATGTGTGTACTGCCTGCCTTGTAGGTAAGTGCACCCATGTTGTCCAATGCCCACGGAGCACAGAAGAGGCTGTTGGATCCCCTGGGACTGGAGTTATGGACAGTTGTTAGCTGCCATGTGGGTGCTGGGATTCAAACCCTGGTCTTCTGCAAGAACAGCCAGTGTTCTTAACCGCTGAGCCATCTCTCCAGCCCCATAAAAGTCTTATTAAAGCTGTTCACACCTAGGTGTAAAAGAATTGCTGCCTGATGCACTTCAAGGAAAGAGGAAAATTATTAGAACTAGTTTCTTTTAACCAGTTAGCCTCAGTAGAGTTTTGGCTTGATGTCACTCAAATACCCAACATCAACCTATCCAATACATTTCTTATTGCACTCTAGGAAGTATAGTGTCACGTAGACTGCTCTGGTGGGAGCACATGACTGGTCGTTCCTCCTCACATTGGTGATTTGTTGTTGTTCTCAGTGTCTGCCTTCTGTTTTCATAGTTTGACCAAAGCTGCATGAGGACAGGAGACATGCCGAGTCCCATGTTATTGGTATTATGTGGTATCTGGTGGGCTGTACCTGTTCTGTTAATAGCTGCAGAATGACATGTACTGAATCAAGTCATACTGAAACAAAAACATGGCATATCAGTTGGTGGCAGAGGCAGGCGGATCTTTGTGAGTTCGAGGCCAACCTGGTCTACATAGTGAGTTCTAGGACAGCTGGGGCTACAAGGAGACCCTGTCTCAAAAAGAAAAGAAAAAAAAAAAGGCATATCAAAGAAATTTCCAACATTGTTTTCCCCAAACACAGCAAACCTTCATTTTTCAGACCAAAAGTTTCCTACTACACATTAAAATCAAGCAACAAGATTATAAAATACGTAAATACAAATCTACATGATCAATCAGAATCTGAAAGGAGGCTGGGTGTGGTGGCTCACACCTTTAGTCCCAGCACTCAGGAAGCAGAGGCAGGTGGATCTCCGTGAGATCAAGGTCAGCCTGGTCTATATAAGTTCCAGGCCAGTTAGGGCTACAAGGAGACCCTGTCTCAAAAAACAAACCACAAACCACACACACACACATACACACACACCACACACAAAGAGACACACACACAGACACACCACACACAAACAGACACACACACCACACAGACACACACACACAGACACACAGACACACACACACACACACACCACACACAGAGACACACACAGACACACCACACACAAACACACACACACACACCACACATAGACACACACACACAGAGACACAGACACACAGACACACACACACACACCACACACAAAGAGACACACACACACAGACACACCACACACAAACACACACACACACACACACACACACACACACACACACACACACAGCAAGAGAACCGAAAGAACAACAAAACAAAACAAACCAATAACATCAACAATGAAAACCAAATCAAAATCTCAAAGGAGGGCTTGGTCATCTGGATTTAAAAACAGTCTTTCTAGGTCACTAATATACAGGACGTCGATCTGACCTAAAAGCCCGTGAAGTGAAGAGGTTAACGTACCAAGCTGGTTTCTTAGGGAAATGAGAATAGCAGTTATTAGATTCTGTAGTGTCTCTACAAGGTAGAGTTCTCCAGAAAGAAGAGATTCATGATGGCCTAAGCTTAGGTGAGCATGTAGAGCAATCTGGGCAGAGGCTTTAGGTGGAAGCTCAAGTCGTGTGTGACCAGAAAAGGAAGAAAGGGATGGGCACCTTTCAGTATAATGAGCTGTTTGGTGCTCATTTTTAAAGTACCCAGAGAGCACTGAGTGACAAGTTGCTGGCTGGCATCTTTGCACTGATAGAAACCAGTATATCTGGGAAATAACAGGGAGAGATCTGGAAGGCAGATTTTATTTTTGTATTCATCTTTAAGAAAAAAAAGGTTGACCTGGAAAATTACACCCCATTTTGCTCAAGAGCTTACTACTGCCGACAGAGTCACAGAATACTGGTTGAGTCACCCGTTTTATTTCAGCAAACATCTAGAGTTAGTACCAGCTGTGTACAGCAAGAGCCAGCTTTCTGTTCCCAAGTCTAGCGTCTTACGTTTGGAAGGAGGGGATGCTGGTTCGTACTTTCTCGTGGTCCTTGTCAGGAGATTTTAAGCTAACAGATGCTTATGCTTCATATCAGCTGTCCAGACTGGACTCTGTCAGTTGGATGCCTCACTAATTATGTGATATTCAAGTTCATGGCTGAAGAAGTTCTTTTGGAACAAATTCAAAGAGCACTAAATGAAAACAGATGAGCCTCATCTTCTGTTACTGTGGAGCTTGGTGATGGTTTAATGTGAAGTGTTCCCATGCATTTGGACACTTGGCTCCCAGTTGGTGGCCCTGTGGGGAGGTGAAGAGCCCTTAGGAGGTGGGGACTTGATGGAGGAAGTGCGTCACTGGGAGCAGGCCTTATGAATTGCAGCCTAGCTCCCACTTCCTGTCTTGGTCGGTCTCTCTCTCTCTCTCTCTCTCTCTCTCTCTCTCTTTTTCCACCTTGTGGCTTTGTGAGGAAATCTAGCCACCAGCTCCTGTTGCTTTACAAAGCTAAGTTGATCCTGGCTGCTGTACTTTCCCTGACTGTATCCCCTTAAACTATGAGGCAAAATGACCTCTTCCTCCCTTAAGTTGTGTTTTGTCAGTATCTGGTCACAGCAGCGAGGGAAATACGTAACACACTATCATTCTGCTTGGTGATTACTGAATACCCTAGGTTCACTTGTATTGTTTCCTAAATATGATTTGCTTTTCTGTAAGGATGTTAGCCAGTGACTTCAGACACCCCAGGCTTTCTAAAGACTTTTAAAAAGAACAGTAAAATAAATTGGCCATAATCCCATCTGGGTGCAAAGTGACGCCCCTTCCTGTGTCAAGACAGTAGGAAATGGCCGGGATGGTGACTAGAGAAGACATAAAAGAACAAAAAGGTGGCGTCCACACCCCTGGAGCCCGGCCGGGCTTCTTTTTGTCACCGCCCTTCACTGGTTTGTTGTGCATTCGTGACTTTTTTATGCTGAAGGACCAAGGCGTCCCATGAGCCTTTCTCCCGCTTCTGTTCTTGGTCAAGAACAAACCTTCCTTCCCTTCTGAACTGGAGTTCAGTCTGATTGATTCTTTACATGGTTCCACAAGGACCAGCTTGGGCTCAAAGTTGGCAACAGAGTCACTCTCTAGGGAATCTGATGTCTCTCCGACATCCAGGAGAGGTGGATGCAAGCCTTGCTCACCTTTCCCTGTTACCTGCAGCTGCGGCTCTTTCACACAAGTGTGGGTGAAAGGCAGGAGTTCTTTCCTGTCTCATCTCCACCTCATGGGATGGAGGCTCCAGGACAGGCACGCACCACAGAGAATTCTAGGACTTCAAGTGTTCATGATGGTGTGATGACACATTGAGGAGACTCGGGACTTCTGTACAACTCACCCACTGAGTACCAAGCTCCTGAAGTGGGGGGTCACTCAGAAGTGCACCATCACTCCGTGTCAGTGTTAGATGTGACTCGGAGATTTGCCAGTACTGTCCCCAGAAGCCTATAGTATTCTCTGCTCTGCCAGAAGCCTGAGGGACAGAAGTTGCTGGAAGGAAGCAGATTTGTTCAGGGACAATGCCTGGAAGACCTCTTTGTCTCTAATCTCCACCTTTAGGGGCTCAGAGTGGAAAGAGGTTTTCAGGGACACAGCATTACAGTGAGGTGAGGGTGGGCAATCTCCAGGATGGGCAAGCACTTACTTAGAGGCATTTCCTCTTCTTGAAGCCATCAGGATCTCAACCTGCATTTTCTTTGAAGACAAACCAGTTTATATGAAGACAAGGCAAAGGTGGGCAGAGAGCGTCGGGGGGAACGGATTCTGTGGAAAGGGGAGGCGAAGGTAAATAAAGGATGAGGGGAAGCTTGGGAGGAGAGACAGGAACTGTAGCTCTAAGTTCTCTGAAAGAACCAGCTTAGTAAGTTTGAGGCTGTGGACATTTTTCTGCCTTTATGTTTACAGAATAATATGGTTTCCGCCCACACAGTTCCCTTCTCCACTGCCAGCCTCCCATTTCCTTGGGATGTAGAGTGACATTTCTCCTGAATGGAGGTGGGGACCGGCACTTTTGGAATGGAAGGTCTTGATGGGATGAGATATGGCCAACTTCAAGAACGAGCACCACAGTCCCCCTGCAGTTAGTTAGCACAGACCCAAGGAATGGCTACGCTCCAGCAACACGATTAGGGAGTGACAGAAAGCCAAAGGGGGAGGGGCGGGGGGGAGTCAGGGGCAGTTTCCAGTGAACGCCTGCTGCTGAGGATTCATAACACTACGAAGTCTGCTCCCAAAAGAATTCACTTACTTGCAGCAGTATAGACAGCTTCAAGCCTGAGGTTGCTCTCAAATACACTTGTACTGAAAGCAAATAAGCTCTTGAGGGACTTTGGAAACACAGGAAAACAGGCAGGTAGGAAAAGATCTCTTGGGCTAACACCAAATTTCCAGTTTTGACCTTGGGAATTAGCCTCTCCAGAAACCAAAATTTGGTAGGATTAGGCCATAAAGCAGTTTATGTTCTAAACTAAGCACTATTGAAATCAGTTGAATGATCAGTCCTGGATTGGTTGAGATCAGTAGCTGGATGTTATATGAGAAAGAGGCCATCAAAGGGCGTGTAGCTCAAACTGGTGTCACCTCAGAGAATTGTGGCTCACAGAGAAATGTGGCATGCCATTAACTGCACCAACATCATGTGTTGGGAGTAGAAAAAAGAAGAGAAGGGAGGGGAGAGAGGAGGGGAGGGGAGAGAGGAGGGGAGGGGACAAGAGGGGAGGGGAGAGAGGAGATACTTAAATAATGACTGAAACTGAAGTTTATTTAAAATATTAATTTATAGATCCAGGAAGTTCAAGGAAGTCCAAGTAAGCTAATATAAAGAGAGAGATGGCTCAGTGGTTAAGAGCACTACACTCAAAAATACATATATACATACATACATACATGAGTAATTTTTCAAAGAATAAGGGCAAGGGGCTGGAGAGATGGCTCAGTGGTTAAGAGCACTGGCTATTTTTGCAGAGGACTTGTTCGATTCTCAGCACCCACAAGGTAGATAATAACTGTCCAGCGCCCTCTTCTGACCTCCAGGGGCATTGCCCAACCCAGGTGCATGTACATACATGCACGCAATACACTCATACACATAAAATACAAACATTAAAAAAATTCATAACTACAAAGAACTACAAATAGAAAGGTCACAGCCGAAATCCTGAAAGCGAAGGATAGGAAGCGAGTCTTGAAAGCAACAAGAACAGAAGGACTTTTCCCTCCCAAGGGAGCTCCAGCAAGTTTAGCTGACATATCAGTTGCCACGAGGTGTTTGAAAGCAGTGGGACAGCATATGTACAATGACTGATGAAAACTAAAACCACCTTCTAAGAGTCCTGCATCCCCCAGAGTTACCTGTACAAAACGAATGTGGAAATCAAGACATATCCAGATTTAAAAACAAGACCAAGCAAGGAAAACCTGATCAGCCGTGCTGCCAGCGGAGTTGTCTTGCAGTGAGCGCTCAAGTAAATGCTTCAGGCTGAGAACAAGCTAAGTCAGGTGCCAACTGGAAGCCACATGATGGGGCTGGGGAGATGGCTCAGAGGGTAAAGTGCATGTCATGTAATCATGAGGATCTGAGTTTGACTTCTCAGCACCCACGTAAAAGGCTGAGCTCAGCAGCATTTGCCTCTGACTCCAGCACAAGCAGATCCCAGGGCCTCGCTAGCCAGGCACCTTGCCAAAACAGCCACCTCCAGGGTCAGTGAGAAACCTAGCCTGAGAAAAGAAGGTGGAGAAGGAGTTGAGAAAGACATCCTGAGGACACCCCTGGCCTCCAGACGCACCTTGTGCACGCACAGACGCACACACACAAGCACACACCAGTAAAAGAAATTACATTATTAAAAAAGACAAATTTCACCAGGTGTGGTGGCCCACGCCTTTAGCCCCAGAACTCAGGAGGCAGAGGCAGGCGGATCTCTGTGAGTTCAAGGCCAGCCTGGTCTACATAGTGAGTTCCAGGACAGCTGGGGCTACAGGGAGACCTTGTCTCAAAAAAACCAACAACAAAAAAGACAAATTTCTTCTTCCCTTAACTGATTTAAGGCATAACTATGTAAAATAATATATATAATTTATTTTGGAGCTTGGAGCATAGTAATGTGTTTGCCAATTTATTACAGAGATGTAATTAATACTCCGACACAACAGAGATGCGTGGGAACAAAGCCACATTGGGCTAAGGGGGCAATCCCATGTAGTGACTAAAATTGGCAAACATAATAAAAGGTTGATATGATAAAAGTGTAAGTTAGATTGTGCTTGGCACTGATTTCGCTGTTTCTTTAAAGACAATGATCATATAAATTGTTGTAGCAATGTAACTGAGTTTGTTAAATCTATGTGATATGTATAACATGAATAACGGAGAGCTAGGATAAAGCTAGTATGTTCTGAAGCAGTTTTGGAGTGACTGAAGGAGTTGCTTTTTAAAAAAATAATAAAATGATTCAATGAAATAAAAATACTGCATTAGAAAATGTTCACTTACTGCAAAAAAGTGATAACATAAGGATAAAGTGTTAAAAAATAAAACCCAACAAGCCCCAAGAATCACCTTCCCAGAGGTGAAATTCCAGGTGTGCACTACATGCAGTCTGGGGGAGCCCTCTCTCTCCCTAGTCTTGATTTTCTTTCTTTTTCTGACAGGGTTTCACATAACCCCAGCGTACCTTGAAATTGCTATATAGAAAGGGAGGACCCTGAGCTGCTGATCCTTCTGCCTCCTGAATGCGAGGATTACAGGTCTGCACCACCATGCCTGGTTTATGAAGAGCTGGGGATTGAACCCTGGGATTTGTGCATGCTACGCAAACACTCTACCCATTAGGCCACATTGCCAGTGTCACAGACACCAATCTGAGTCTGGACGGTATGTGCTAGAGTTTCCAGACTCTTTACAGTGAATTCTGCAGAGACACATCGACAGTCGCAGGAGAGAAGATAATTTATTAAGGGAGAGACACACAGCAGCTTGGAGGCTGTGCCAGGCCTCACCTGTGGCCTGGCTCCAAGAGGGAGAGAAGGTGTAAAGGGGCGGAGGCAAGGGACAGTGACTTTTTATGGGTCATTAACATCACACCTGCGTCTTCCAGGCTCATGTACCGTGGGGCTTGGAGCATGCTCCTCGGGGTGAATGATGCTCAGAGTGAGGCCTTCCAGTCTTTGCTCTGCTTTCAAACGCTGGACCCTCTGCCACTACTTCCTGTTCTCCTGCCTCACCAGCTCCCACCTTAGTTCGCGGCTCCCTTTTGGACTCCTGGTTTCTGCTGTGTGTTCAGCCTGTGAGAGCAGCCCTGGTGAGACCCTCAGAAGAGCGTTATTTGACACTGATTACACTTGAGCTGTGGGTCACAGTGCTGCCCTTCGGCTGCCCCTCTCCCGCTTTGCACAACTGCTTCCTCCTCTTGGTCCTTTACCCTTCAGAGTTGGGATCAGCAGCCGGCTTCATTGTCCCTGGGCCCCACTCTCCCTGTGATTTCTGTGTCTTATAAACTCCCCTACTGTTCAGTTATCCTCAAGCTACCCAATTAATGTGCCATCTGGATTTTGCCAGGACTGACGGACATAGAGGGAATGGTAGTTTGGGACAGTGTCTGATGGGAATCGGGGAGACAGGAGCAGACATTTGGGCCTTTGAGTCTGGAATCCAGGAGAGAGGGGCGGAAGAAGGAATTTAGGAATCATTCTCAAGAAGATACTTGCAACCAGCAGACCCCAAAGGGGAGCTCACTGAGGGAACAAGACCTGAGCTGTGGCCCCTCTCATGTCAGAGGCTGAGGACAGAGACGTCTGAGCTGCCAAAGGAGGTTCGGGGGAGAGGCAGGAGAGGTGGAGGAAAAGGAAGCAGCTGTGCTCTGGAAGTCAGCAGAGGACTGTACATCAGAAGACCGCTTAGCACTGCGAAAGGACCGGTGCAGCTGGGACGCAGAACTTGCACTGAAGTTAGCGATGGGAGGGCCATGTTGATGTGACAAGCACATTCAAGGTGGAGAAAGCTAATAAAGGTTGTTTAGAGTGAGTCAAGACAGAACTAGGGAAAGCAAGTATGAGCCAGCCTTGAATTTCGCAGTGTCTGGAGAGGAAAGAGAGCGTTTGCCTTTGAGTGTGAGTGTGAGTGTGAGGATGGGAAGAGTAAGAGCTGTACGCTGACACAATTTGGAAAGAAAAAGAATGCAGTTGAGAAATGAGGGAATTCCTGGAGGAATAGTGCAGGGTGGGGCCTTTGAGGAAGTGAGGTATGGTCCAGAGAGGGGCCGAGTGCAGGTTGAGCTACAGAAGCCAAGAGGGAGAGGAAGGGTAAGAACTGTGTTTCTCCTGTGACTCTGTTTTCTGAAGAGGCTGAGAGGGAGGTGCTGGAAGATGAAGAAGCTGTCAGTGGTTACAGTGACAGAAACCAGGAAAGGGCTAAGGAAACGCCTGAACGCCTGCAGATCTGGGAGCATCGCCGTGCGTTATAGGGGCCGTGCTGGTCAGAAGATGCAGACCTGGAGTGAGCAGGCGATTTATTCAAAGAGGGTCTGAAGTCTTACTAAGCACGAGACAAGTCCCTGACACAAAGCAGTTTAAGGGGAGAGAGGATTATTCTGGGTGACAATTTGAGGCGAAGCACCCCATTATGGTGGAAAAGGCAGGCATGGTGGGAAAGGCATGGAGTCAGGCAGTTCTCAACTGTGGCAACAGGAACACAGGCTGCTAGGTCACATGTCAGAGGATCAGGAAGCAGAGAAGGGTCAACAGGAAGTAAGGCCAAGTTACAACCCTCAAGACACTTCCCCCAACTTCTTCCCAATGACCCACTTCCCTCAGTGAGGAACCCCCCTAAAGGTTCCCAAAGGTTCTAGAACCTTCCAGAACACTGCACCTTGTGGGGACCAGTTGTTCAAACACGTGAGTATAGGGGGATGTTTTACGTCTAAACCACAACAGCCAAGTGGGGCAGAGCAGGTTATTTAACTTCTCTGAACTTTGGTTTCTTCACGAAACAGGACACCAATAATACTGAAGACTGCTGTAAGCATGCCCGGTACATTCCGGGGAGTGGTAAACACACAGTAAAGCCTGCTAGAATTACTGCTACGTGGGCTATGAAGATTCCCAAAGTACAAGTTCAGTCTTGACCACAGGCCACGCATCTCCATTGCAGATGGTTCAGTTCAGCTCAGCCCGTGTCTTTGTCTTTGTGTCCCATCGTTTCGCTTGTTGGGCATTATTCTGAAAACAAAAAGCAAAAGCCACCATTGCTTACGCAGGCGTTTTGCGTCTCCACAGGGCTTCATTTCCACTGTGGGGCCTTTGGGAAGCCCGGTACTGTTAGTGAGGGGGCTGCTGACAGTGCATCTGTTTGCTAAATTCTTGGCAATGGCCTCAAGGCCAGTAAGAATTGAGGTTCTTAGAGGAGTATAGCTTTGAAGTCATTCCTCTGTTTGCACACTGGCGGTCTAAAAATAGAACTCCGTGCACACCCAAATAACTTGGATGTCTGCTCAAACCTTACTTCTTTTATTCAATTGATTATACCTGATTAAGTGGTCCATATCACATTGCCATAGCCATTTACGGACATTACATTTACTTCAAAGACTTTGAAGTAATTTAAATTACAGGTAGCTTCTTGAGGAAATTGATATTATCTTTGCTGAGATTCATTTTAATTTGTTTCAGGAGAATTTATGTTTGGTTTTTGAGGCATGATTATCAGTTAATTTCACCATCTGATTCAGTTTTTTATCTTTCTTCATTCATGTTAGGATTTTTGTGCTTTGACAGGTGATTTTTTTTATATTGAACCCTGGACAGTTTGTCTATGATGCCGGGAAGCCAAATCTTATTTATTTGTTACAATTTTTAGAGGGGATTTCATATCGCATAGGCTACCCTTGCTGTGTAGATGAGGATGACCCCTGATCCTCCTGCCTCCAGCTCCCGAATGCTGGGATTACAGGTGAGCACCGCCACACCAGTTTGTATGGTGCTGGGGATCAAATCCCAAGGGTCACACAGATATGATGGGTCAGGACTCAGCAAAAGGTGCTACGTCCTCGGCTCTGAGTCTTTTTTGGATTTATCAGGCGCTCACCTGTTTGGGTGGTGCGGATGGCTCTCGCTGTCCTCCGTACTGTGCTTCAGTGACTGTTGGGTTTTCAGATACTCCGGCATGGCTCTGGTCAGCTTGCTCTGTCTGGCTCTGTGTGTTGGGGAGGAGGGGTTCTGTGATCTCTCCTAGTACTGCCTCCTGGATGAAGAGGCCTGGAAGGGCTGCAGTGGGATTTCCCTTCCTGGTGCTCCTGAGATACGCAAGAGAAAGATAATCTTGAGCCTGTAGTGACAGTTTCCTCAAGTCAGGAAATTTGCTGAAGCTTGATCAGCTGGCCATTTCAGTCTCCTGCCTGCACCCCAGTATCTCCAGACTCCAAATACAGCTTGAACTGTAAATCTTTCTCCCTGTTCTCCACAATAAATTTACAACTAAAACTTGCAAGAATAATTCAA